TCTAAATTATTAACATTTTATTTTTAATAAAAATTTTATTTATAAATTATAATAAATATTAAATAAAAATTATAAATATAAATAATTTACTGACTAAAATATTATTAATATCATTAAATATTTTTAATAATAAATTAAGTTTTAAATTAAAATATAAAAAATAAATAATTTACTTCCTAGTGTATTATTGATTATTAAATATTTTTTAAATCTTAATTTAATTAAATTTAAATTATATAAATTAAAATATAATAAAATTAAATAGTTTATAATCTAAATATTACTATTTTTAAAAAATATTAATTATTAAATAATTATATAAATAAATAATAGATAAATAAATTTATTATCATTTAATTCTTTTAATGTAGGAGTATTTAAATTGATTCTATCTTCGAATTTGATAAATTTAACTTTTTGCAAACAAAAATGGGTATAATTAATGAATTAGAATGTGGTTAAACACATGTATTACCTTTAGCATCCGAAACTGGCTCTAATGTAAATGTATGAAAAAAAAAAAAGATTTAGAATATCATCAAACTGTTAAATTAATTCATTTAGTCATACCTTTTATTCTTTTTCCTTTTTCTTGTTTGGTGAAAACATTTATTAGCTTCTTTATTACACTTTTACCTTTATAATTACTATTAAACATTGTTATAATTTATAATAAAAAAAAAGTTTTTTTAAAACTTTTATTTCAATCAAATTATCTTGTATAACGATAACAGAATGAATGTTACATATTGTCAATATATGTAAATCTTACCGCATTTAAAAAGTATGAAGTTCAGCACTTTAAAAATAATTACATATTTTAATAGTTTTTAATTTCGTTACGTTTATTTTAATTTTATTTTTTTCTTCTTTTGAAATCTTGAAGTCAGTAGTTGAAAGTAGTCCGCAGCAATATATGCCTCAACGATATTTTCTTTAGTTAAAGACTCCTCTTGAACAACTTATATATAAATTTATTCCAATATAATTTCCATCACTGATGAATTAATCTTTTATAAGTAATTTTATTCTGATAACTTTCTCTCATTCCATTAAAGTAATGCATCAAATACTTCAGATATTGCGGCTAAAATCGCTTTAAAACCATGTAATTTCTTCATATTTGCATATAATCCTATGTCACTATATTTTGGGTATTAATTAATAATCTCAAATCTTGTTCTAATGAATAACCTCTTATCATTTTTTATTTTTTTTTTTTTTTTTTAGGAAATTCAAAATGATCGGCTGCACAAGTTTCGGTCACAAAAATTTTTTTGCACCTTTTAACCTGACTTAAGAAACTACGTCATCATATAATACTTTTATACTTTTACCATGGCATCCACAAAATATAGAATTTTAGTTAAATTATAAAAACTTTGTAAAGAGATAGTACATTGGATTGTTTATTTCATAAAGTTAGATTATCTAATAGATATTTAATTTAGTATTAAAATTGCACAGAAGGCAACATTTTAATATCTGAATTATGTAATGAAAATGGTGGATTCGACATTGAAATAAAGTTTAACAAAGTTAAAAGATGCAACGAAAGTATATTGTAAATGTCTTATCATTGATCAGAAAAATAAAATTCATTGGCGTATTTTGTTACAGTTTCATTTGGCGTTACCATCTTTCTTTAATTCAGATGTTAAAAACACTTAGATAACCGTGATTAGTTTAGTATAAACTTTCTGGTGGGTAAAAAACAAAAGAATGCAAGTCAAATTTGCACAGTGCTCAACGGTTCATTGTTTTAATTTGAAATGAAAATACCGAGAATTTTTGTACGCTTTGTCATGAATGTTGTGAATAATTTCTTAATGGAAATGTTGTAAAAAAAGCTAAAAGTTCCAAAGTAAAATAATTTCATCTGTAAAACACAAATAAGTATATTAAAAATTTGGACCAATATTGTTAAAATTAATAATGTGAACGTTGTTGAAAAAAGAACAAGCCATTATTATTTTTTAAAAAAAAAGCTTTGAAAGATTATTCACATAGCCAAATAAATTGGATATCGGCAGCCTCGGTATTGAACGAATAAATTACCCAATAAAAACGTCATCTAGTTAATAAAGTTGCGTTGTTCTTAATAAGGTTTTTCACAATGTGGAGAATCTTATCTAGTTGTGAAAAAATCAATGGAAAAGTACATAATATTAATTTTAATAAACATTTATTTACCGTGGTCTATGTTTATAGCAACTATAAAATAGTGTAATTAGTGAAAAATTTCATAGTTATTTTAATCTATGACAATAATGTAGATATTTAAGACAGACAGGGAAGTTCCGTCATGTTATATATTAAGTAATTAATATGATTGAATGTAGCAATTTCTTTTCTTTGAAAATATGAAATGTAAATTTTTTTTTTGAAATTACGTTATATAACTTCACATATCCTATTATTAAGAAAATGATCACATAAATTATATAAATTGATAAAATATTTTTCGTTTATTTAAATAGACTTTCAGTTCAAAAAACAAAGAAATCTTTTAAATTATTAATGTACATTTTTTTATGGAATCCTCGACAAATTCATAATATTGATTGATTTATTTATTTATTTATATCACAGATCATTTTATGGAAAGATTTACATACTGGAAAAGATTTTCTGTAAATTTCTATGCAATAAAATAAAATTTAAATTAGAAAATGATTTATTGTTATACGAAATTGATTTAATATGAAAATGATCTGTTACGTTATAATTTTAAAGATAGAAAGTAAAAAAGTAAGAAAAAGAAAGACCTAAATTAAGCAGCAGCCCGAATGTGATCAAAAATCCTATAAAAAAATAAAAGAAATAAAACGACAACAGATAAAAAGAAAAGAAGATTAACATCCTTAAAAAAAAAGAAAAATATAAAATTAAGAAAAAAATAAAAAAATAATTAAATATCGGAAATTTAAATGCTATAATATAAAATTTAAATTAAGTCGACGATAACTGAATTTACGAAATTGTAAAAAAAAAAAATCGCACATGATTGGTTATAGAGTTTGGACTCGAGTCAGAAAAGTTAACTCGAGTCAAGAAATTTTTGACTCGAAGAGTACTCGAGTTGGAAATTCAAGTCAGAAACTCGAGTCAAACTCGAGTTAAAGTCATAATGCGGGCCGGAAAAGTACAATGCGGGCCAAAATTTTGTGATATTTTTGGGGCCGAACTAAAGGAAATTTTTTTAAAAAATTTTTATTCAATGATTATATAATAAATGTTAATTATATTATGCTAATAAATGCAGTTTAAGAAAAGAATTACATGTTATTTATAAAATATAGCATAAATTTTGGAGTTGACTCGAGTAGTTTTAATTCGAGTCAACTCGAATTCTGACTCGAATCAAGAAAATCTCGACTCGAACTCGAATCAGAATTTAACTCGAGTTGACTCGAGTTAAACGAATACGAGTCCAGTCTCTAGTTGGTTAAAATATATTTTTTTTATGGAATTCAGATGATTTTCAAGTCAGACACTCGAAAATCCAACTTCAGACGAAAATCAATTTCAGTGTTTCATTTATTAATTTGATTTTTCTTTATTTTTTTACTTTTTCGATTCATTTATTAATTTAAATTTCTTTATTTTTTTACTTTTTTAGTTCTTTCGCTTGAGCCATACCGATTTTTATTTCAATACTATTTAAAATTATTAATTATTCAAATTAAAATCCTCCCTCTTTCAGCTTGAAGTACGCGGTGTATTTTTTGCGAACAAATATTTTTATTTGTCCGCGCTTATGATTTATTATTATTATTATTAAGAACCGCATACTGGACCATAATGAATATAGAACGAAAGTAAATATAGAAATGAAAACCATTTGATGATCATTCCAAGCTTTTTCCTTAGCTTTAGAACCAATTTTAAAAGGGTAAAATAAAAGTATTTATAATTGGAATAGGACATTTTATTTCTTTATAAAAAGCAAATTCTCAACTTTGCCTGAATACATAAAGAAAACTTACAAATAAAACAACCTTTGTAAAGAAATAATAATCATGAACAGATATTATATTTTTGCATTAATTTTAATGGCTGTGTTTTCCACGGCCAATGCAATACCACATCAACTTCAAAAGAGAACTATCGACGAAGATAAATGTGAATATGCACTACCCGGACTCATCTATTCAAATAATCCTGATCCTGTCGTCCCCGGAAGTCTCGTTACATTTACTCTTAATACAACTATACCAGATCATGTAATCACACAATCAACCACACTTCATGTTTATTATGTTAATACTGATACTGCAAAACCCGTAAGCGATGGCTATTTAGGACCGGTTTGCACTGGAACTGGATGTCCAATTAATGCTAATACTCCATTTACTGCAATTGCTAAGTTTCTGGTACCAGAAAACTTACCTAAAGAAAACCGAATTAAATTTGTAATTTACGATAAAGATTTTTGCAAGTTGTGGTATTAGTCAGCATGATTAAAATCCACCCATTGGTCAGATTTCACATGATGATCAACATAGATTATCCAATAAGATTCGTTATATTCATGCGACAATTTTTTTTGTTTCGAAGACAATTTTAACTTTTTATTTGTTTTATTTGTGATTTTTGTTTTTTCTAGTTAGTTTTTTTTCTTTTAATGTATCAAAAAATAAAATTGATTTTATTCATAAATTGTATTGTAAAACTTTCTTTTTGTCCATTTGTAAGCGTTCATTATTGCCGTTTTCAAAAATGTGTACAATTTGACATGTTGATCATTTCTAAATCGAACACAATGAACACAAACGAACACAACGCGAACACAAATAATTGTTTTTATCTTAAAAAACACTATATATTTTTTTAACCTTAAACATTCTTACAATATGCCAAAGAAATATAGTGAAACTTGAAATGGAGAATTATGTATTTATAGAACGATAATTATTCCATTGAACAAATTTCTAAATTTTTTACATTAATGAAAAAACAGTAGAAAATTTTTAATAATTTTGACTTGAAAGTTTGTATTATTATATTATTGCTATATTGTTTATAATTTTAGATTATTCATTTTTTCTTTAAGGTCTTATATGTATTTGGACGAAATGGTTATTGAAGTGAAGAGAAGAACTAATAAAGAAGTTTCAATTTCAACAATATAACAATATGGCGTTCTTTAAAATATTGTGGAACAACACATAAAAATGTTCATTATTATGAATATAATTTAAATGTTGTAATAATTAAAAATAACCCAATTTATTTATAAAGTTAGAAAAACATGATAAAGAAAGAAGTGAGACGTTGCGTAGTTATTATATATTACACGCTTACTAATTGTTCGCCTGTGATGTTTCATATTGATATTTTACCAGATTCACTACCGTTGAATTTTCCGTGAAAATATCAACATGACGCTATTACCGTGATATATCAAACGAAATCATACCGCAAAAAGTTTAATATAATTTTAAATCAATTTTATCTTACAAGTTAGTTTCGTTATCTTTTTTATTTTTCATATCCAATGCTTTATATTATAAAAGGTAATATTAAAGATTCAGATTATTGCATATTTAATATATTACTTACACAAATAAAATTGTTTATGTCTTTCAAGAATATTACGTTTAGAAAAGTTTGTACTTTCACATAAAGAAAATGGTTAAGTTAATGAAAGATGATTTTTTCGTATTTTTTGAGTTTATAAAGAATAGCAAAGAATGTAAAAAATTTATTTTTATAAAAAAATTTTATAAAATTTGTTATAAATATAAAGATAAAGAAAAATAATTTATTAATTGTTATATTGTAAAAAGTATAAATTATACAAAGTTTAAATACAAGATTTAATAAAAAAAAAATACACATTGTTAAAAAAAATTTAAGTTTTACTATATATGGTATATAATATGTAATTTTGTTAATTTAAATAAATAAGCATCCCTATAGGTTACACCTATGATATATTTTAAAAATTTTTTTTGAAAATGATTTGATAAATAATTTTTTACAAAAATATTTATTTTGAAAAATTTACTAAATTTGTATATAAAGATATATTCTTACCTTATTCTGTAAGTTTACTTGAAGCGTTAAGAGAGGTTTTGGTTAGCTTGACTGCATTTTTTTGTAAAAATTGTGTCACATATTTTAAATAATATAATCTGCATAACCTATTACACATTATAGAATGCATTAGATAATTAGTATAACATATTAAAAAGTTTTATTTGACATTCAATCAAACAATAAGTAAAGTTTATTCTTATATCATATATATATATAAATAGCTTTTTGTATTAAATTTACATATTGTAATATATAAAAGGTTAGAAAGATTATATGTAATAATATATAAAAAAAAACTGTTTATTGAAAGATTATTATTATTAAAAAAAAAAAACTTATTGCTATTTACAATAAAAAATCTGTTTAATAAAATTTTAAAAGAACTATTTTTCATACTTACTCTGAAAATTTATATTTACTTTATTTTCATTAAAAGTACTTATTAAAAATAGTAAGAGCATGAAAAGTTCAAGAACTAACTGAAACTAATATACTAAATAAAACAAAAACTGCAAATAAGTATTATAAATAACTTATCATACAAAACTCCTATAAAAATCTTATCACTCCTAAAAATTATAAAAAAATTACTAATAAATTACAATTAATATATTACAATTTTACTAAAAAAGGTCTTGAAAAATATTATAAAAAATATAATAATGATCATGAAAAAGGTGATAGAACAAACCAGCCAGTTGATTCTGCTATAAATATTATAATTAAAGCTAAAACTAAAAAAAGTAATATTTTTAAAACTTTTTATTATTTTATCAATTAATTTTTATCAAAAAATCAGTTGATTAATATTTTACATTTATTTTAATTAGGTGATTAAGGTAAGAAAAAGGAATCAGTTGAATCTGATACTCTGATTAGAATTACGGTTAGTAAAGAATTAAACCTTAATATTGATTTTTTATCACAAAAATTTTGAAATTTTAATATTAATTTTATAAATATTATAATTAAATTATAGCATAAAACAAGTTCTATTATTAATATTTCTGACAATAATTCAGAATCAATAGCTTATAATGTACCTGATGATTTTAGAAATTTAGAATTACTGAAAGGTTCTCAGTTTAGCTGAAATGAATCTTTTAGTTTAGATTAATGTTCAATTTTTGATAATTTTAATAAAGATAACTTCAAAAGCACAAGTATATCTACAAATAAATCAGATAAAGTTATAGTTAAAAAATATGTCTTATCTATGAATTCTGCCAAAAATAAATGTCATTATCATCAAAGTGGTATCACTAGTCTACTTCAATTATTAGATAGCAAAGATAATGAAGGTAATTGTTATTTATGTTATAGATATATATATTTTCTAAGTAATTTATACTAGTACTTTATTTTTTTATCTTTGCTTATATTAATAAATTTTTATGTAAATTAGGCAATATTTATGATAATTCTGAAAGCTCAAAAAAGGATGAAAATAAGGATAACAAAAATAGAGAAATTAAAGTCTCAACATCACGTAATATAAATAATAATATTTGTAATTATCTTTAAATATTGTTTTTACAAATATTTTAAAAATCAATGAATTTTTAAATAAGCCTAAAGCTTTAATGAGATAAAAAATATACTTAAAGTCTACCAGTGGTTAATAATAGAAAGACAAGAAATATTATTAATAGTAAATCAAATATATAATACTTCAAATACCTCACTAGATTTACCATTTGCCAACATATTCACCTCCTTTCTGATGATTAAACCTGCTACAATTATGCTAAAA